ATAATTTCCTCCTAATCCCTTCTTTCAAATTTTCACTCCAGTACAGTTGCCTTAGATTCACTTCCCCCCATCTTGCTTACCTTCTCAGACCTTCTGGTACTTTTCCTTTTCGTTCTGTCTATGAAGTTCTCAGTACCCTATTTACTTCTCATATTCTCACTCAATGACACTTAAATTGCCATTCTGCCTCCTTCCTAATTGGGGTGAGAAGAGCCTTACCTGCCAGACCCCAGAGGGAGAAGGGGGATCGGCGTGTCTTCACCTGCCAGTCAGCATAGCTAAACCAGAACATCACATGGTCCAAGACTGTTTCTCCCTTAAAGTCCATTCTGCCTTATTGGGCTTGATCAGGTGCGAATGAAAACACAGATGGGTTAAATGTCCCATGTCCCAGGCCATCTCCGGAAAAGCCAATTCATACTCACTTCTGTATCCCCCCACTTCTAGCCTAACAATTCCGAGGGGGTCAAGAATTTCACAGCAGACGGGACTCCTCCTGGGGGAGGGCAGAATACGAGCATACAAGGACCAGTTTCCTATCCTAAAAACCTCCTGGCGATCGCTTGGTAATAATTTTCCCCGAGACGGCATAGAAACACCTCCTAAATGACCATCACAAATTTCCTTCCTAAACCCTAGCACGCTCGCCGACCTTGTGCCAAGCAATCGCTGCCTGCCTATTCCAGGCTCCTGTGGGTCCCCACTCCTTCTAGGCCCTCCCAGGGGGGTGATCAGGCCCCCTCTTCCACCCTGCCGGGTGGGTTCCTCCTCACCTGAGTGCTCAGTTCCCCTGCTGCCGTCCACTACCTGCTGATGTGAAAGGTCCGGGCGTTGAAAAGCAGAATCCTTCCAGAGGGGCGAGGCGCCTTCCCCCTCTAGGAGATTCGAGCTACAAAGCCTCGGGTTGGCCTCAGTGAGACCTGTCTCCTCAAAGTGAGGAGCTTCCCGGCCAATGCACCAAATGATATAGCCACGCTTTCTGGGAAACAAACTCACTCAGAAGGACAATGCAGATAGTGGAGTGCAGTTTATTATACCGGTTGGCCCAAGGCAGAGTCTCCTCTTAGCCAAGGGCCCCGACCAGCATTTGTGAAAATCTTTTATACCCCATGTGTACGTGTCCAAACCCAGCACCCCAATCCCTTGATGCTTACAAAGGAATGGTAAAATACAATGTTTATGTTACATTTTCTCTTTTTTTATATGAACTAACATTAAGTGTGTTTAGTATATTTGTCCCAATTCATTAATGCTAAAATGCTTTAATATATTTATTTAACTCACAGAGTTTTTAAAGAAATTATTGACGTGGGAGTTTAGAACATTTCCCACAGTGCTTTTTTCTGATTGTTCTTCACTATTAAGCTTATAGATTAGATAGAGAAATATTTAAGAAGAAATTTTTCTGTTCCAATAATGCTATTTTACAATGTTATGTGAGGTTTGCTATAGAGAAAGGATAAGTGATACATATACACATTTCCCTTCTTGATTAGATTTCTGTCCCATCTAGGTCACCATAGAGCATTGACTAGAGTTCCGTGTGTTCTCACCATATTTTTCAAGTCTCACTTCTCATTTGATTTATTAAGAACTCTTACCTTATTAAATTTATCTTCTTTGTTATGAAACATCCCAGGACTTTATGGTTCATGCCATCTATTTCTGATTAGTCCTAAGTCAATATCATTTACTCTTTTAGACTCTATTAGAACATGCTCAGATAACAACATGAGTGGTAAGTAGGTTAAATAATTAGCAGGCATTAGCATTTGTGAAAACGTTTTGCTTGTAAATTTGATTACTTAAAGCAGAAATTACTCATTACACTGCTCAACTTCTCTTCGCTTCATTGTTCCTGTAGGTTTCTATCTTGACTTCTCCTCTGCACCATACTCCCTTTTCATCTCATCTTGTCCTGTTCTGTGTTTGTGGTCTCTGTTCTGCAGGCTGCAGATCCTAGCTCCTCTTGCTCCGGTGTCTGCCCCGTGGTGGGTGAGGCAGTCCAGAGACTTGTGCCCTTATGCCCTTGAGAGGGGGTTGATTGTTACTATTGTGACCAGAGCCTGCCTAGATCTTGAGGGCCGCTTCGCCTTTCCTCTGTGGCTGTCACTGTCTGTGGGGGTCTGCTTCCTGATTGGTGGAGCAGAGTCTCCAGATCTGAAATGAGCTCTGCTCTGATCTGTGGTGCTTCTGATCTAGTGGGACTGGAGCACACCCACTGAGAGGGAAGCCACTGAGTGTTGCTCCTCTGGGGATGTTCTCCTCGGAGAGTGCTCTGCGTGTCATCTTTCATGTGCTGTGCGAGCTCTCGTGTGACCCTGTGTTGGCATTGAACTTGGCCCAACCTGAAGCATGGGTATGCTGGCACTTGACCCTGGTGTCCCTCAGATGTTGTTTTCACCAGGTCACCAGCAGAGATCCACTGTGGTCATATCCCAGGTGTACGTTCATTGTGGACCTGGACCCGCTGCGGTGCTATGGGGGCAATGTAGACTGTGACCTGGCCCAAATGCCTCATGTGCATGCCTACAGAGTCTACAGTTGCTAAAGCAAGACTGGTCTTGACTGCCAGAGCCTCATTTCCATCCAGATGTTGTGTTGAGGCTGAGTTTACCAAGCCACTTGTGGGGTGTAACACCATGGTTTGTACAGATGTAAGGAGAGATCTCAGCTCTTCTTGCTTAGTTGCAGGGCCTTGGGGCTCAGCCGTGGTTTCAGCACCACCTGTGCATTGGGACCACCCACAGGCGTGTGCTCTGAAGGTGTCCCTGGAGCCCATGAGTCTACCCTGGTGGGCAGGAGGCTGGGGAGGAGGAAGCAGCTGTGGGGGTCGTGAGATCACCCACCGAGGTGGGAGCCATGCCTAGTGCCTGGAGAGGCAGGGACAGGCAGAGGGGCAGAGTGGCTGCAAGGAGGTTCTTCCCTTCTGGCATCACTCAACAGTGCCGCTCTGCTTCTCTGGTGGTTCAGGCTTCCTCCACAAGCATCCCATTTGCAGAGCTCCTCCTTCCGTCCCATCCCCTCAGGATGTCTCCTCACGGCCAACAGCAGTCCACTGCCTGGGTCTGCTCTCTGATCCCCACGTTCCAGCACCCAGCCCTTGTCTGCATCGGAGGACACCCTCTCAGGCTGGGTGGGCAGGGCAGGGGTCAGTACCCTGCGTGCAGGTCTCACTCTGTCCTCCATGCTGGTGGCCGTGTTCTCTTCCCACAGAGAACAAGGCTCCCCTTCTGTCCCAACTGAGCTCCCCCAGTGAGGAGCTTCCCTGAATGTGCAGACGTCTCCTCTCTTCAGAACCCCCCAGGGATTTGCGGATCTCATCCAGCTTCTTTTCCTCTTCACTTTCCTCCATCACTGTCCTGTCCTACCTGGCTTAGCAGGAATCTTTCTTCTCCTTTAAGGTGTCCATGTTCCTCTGCCCGTGTTCTGCAGGGCTCTGTGAGAATTTTTCCACTTCAAGATGTATTCTTGATTCTTTTGTGGAGAGAGATGAACTCCACGTCTTCCGAATCCTCTGCCATTGTGACTCGTTCTATCTCGGTTTTAGGCTTCATCTAGCCAAGTCTATGCCAATTTTAGGTACATTGTAAACTATATTCTCCAAGAATAGTAAGTAGAATAATTTATTATTTGTTATTTTTCAGCTGTGTCTTCTCACCACACCCAGGGTTTGAGGTCCCAACAGCCAGGCTTAGAAGATTTACTCCCAACAGCAAAGCTAGGAATATATAAAAGATTTCACCTTGCACATTTACATTTAACCAAAGCCTGGGAATCTATGACGTCATATAAAGAGCAGAGAGCATGTTGTGATGGACACAACCAAGTTGATACAGTTTCCCATAAAGTAAACATTACTGCCAAAAAAAATCAAGGATGTGAATCAAATAAGGAAAACCCAATTTCAGATGACCAATTTCAGTCATCAACATCTGCAGTTAAGTGTTTATTTGTCAGCAAAGATCCACATCATCTGTTGAAACATACATGTTCTCTAAAGGGAAATGTGGAAAATCTGGAAAGTCATCTAGTCTCTACTGCAAATTCTCATTCAAACCTATACTCTGAGCATAGCTGTCTATTAAATGTACATTCAAACATGTCTGGAAACCAGAAGCTTAAACATGAGGGGGAAAATTCCCAATACAATCAATTTGAGGGATCTTTTAACAAGGGTTTCTTGTTCTTGAACCAGCAACTATTTTCTCCTTGTTCCAAAATCTGTAATGTTGATAATAATGGGAGAGAACTTATTCAACCATCATTGTTCAATACACATGGAGGTATAATTAGTGTGGAACAACTTTACAAGTGTAATAAAATGAGGAATGCCTTAAGCAGGAGCTCTACCCCCAATAATTACAAGAGTATACATGATGGAATGAGAAGCTCTTCATGCAATGAAACGGGGCATAATGTGGACCAAGACTCATATCTCGTGAAACAACAGGGACATCAATATTCGGACAGCAATTCTAAACATCATAAGTGTAGGAATATATTTTGTCAAAGCTCAAATCTTACTGTTAATACTTATAAGAGTATGGATATTGCAGAGAAAACTTACAATTGTTATGATTATGGTAAAGCTTTTAACCAGCCTTCAAAACTTTTTCAACAGCAGATAATTCAGACTAAGCGGAAACATTGCAAGTGTAAAACATGCGGAAAAGTCTTTAGTAACTCACCAAATCAAAGTAGACATAGGAAAATTCATACAGGAAAAAAACATTTCAAATGTACAGCATGTGGCCAAACTTTTGATCAGAGTTCATATTTAACTGAACATCTGCGAATCCATGCTCCAGAGAAACCACACAAGTGTACAGAATGTGGCAAAGTCTTTATCTGCTGTTCATGTGTTACTCAACATCAGCAAATTCATACTAGGGAGAGACCTTATAAATGTACAGACTGTGACAAGACTTTTAAGCAGCGTTCAGGATTAACTAAACATCAGTGAATCCATACTGGGGAGAGACCTTATAAATGTACAGCATGTGGCAAGGCTTTTAAGCAGAGTTCAGCTTTAACACAACATCATCGAATCCATACTGGGGAGAGACCTTACAAATGTACAGCATGTGGCAAGGCTTTTAAGCAGTGTTCAGGTTTAACTAAACATCAGCGAATCCATACTGGGGAGAGACCTTATAAATGTACAGAATGTGGCAAAGCATTTATCAATTATTCACTTCTTACTCGACATGAACGAATCCATACTGGGGAGAGACCTTACAAATGTACAGCATGTGGCAAGGCTTTTAAGCAGCGTTCAGCTTTAACTGAACATGAGCGAATCCATACTGGGGAGAGACCTTATAAATGTACAGAATGTGGCAAAGCCTTTATCAATTATTCACTTCTTACTCTACATCAACGTATCCATACTGCGGAGAGAACTTATAAATGTACATCATGTGGCAAAGCCTTTATCCGTTATTCTTTTCTTACTCGACATCAGCGAATCCATACTGGGGAGAGATCTTATAAATGTACAGCATGTGGCAAGGCTTTTAAGCAGAGTTCACATTTAACTCAACATCAGCGAATCCATATCGGGGAAAGACCTTATCAATGTCCAGACTCTGGCAAAGCCTTTTCCCAGAGTTCAGGTCTTTCTCAAAATCAGAGAGTTCATGCTGCAGAGAAATGTGAGAAATGTAAGGAATGTGGCCAAGGATTTCCTGACAGCCATCACCTCACTCACAATCAGAGAATTCATACTGCAGAGAAAGCCTAGAAATGAATCAATGATAAAAAATTTGGTCCTAAATATACAATTTTGAAAAAACGAGTGTTTTCCTTGAAAAGATACATAAATGAAATAAAAAAATGTAGAAAACTGCTTAATCAGACATCAAATGTAACTCAGTACCAGAGAATTCATACTAGAAAGCATTTTATTCATACCACTTTTGTTGAATTACTCGAAGCAGAAACACTGTAGCAAGTATTTCATAAGTAAAACACATACAAAATTGATATGTTAGTATGGATCACAAGATGAAGGGGTGGATATTTGCAGAGGTATAATTATTCATGTATCCCTGTTTATGTTAACGTATTTGAGATTATTAAGGAACCAAAATGAATGTAATTCAACTCTCAAATTACTACATGCTGTGATTTGTTTCTACTGTATATATGAACTTATCTTTTTGATGGTTGTTGCCCAATCGTAAGAGAAGCCCTTCTATGTTAAGTGGGAATCATGTACATTTATTCTCCAATTTATAAGATTAAGAACACAGTCATCTTATATACACACTAAACCTCTGAATGGAGGTATTTGTCACTGATGTCAAACACCTCTGTGGTCACCATGATGTAAGTGTTCAGGGAATAATTCAAAGTAAGATAGAAGTTTGCCCTAAGTTTTCAATAATTATGTCAGTTGCCTTTTAAGCATAAAACAAGGATAGTTCATGAAAATCTAAGGTATTTTTATAACAGCAACATAGAGAAATCATGCATAGTATATGGCAAGCTTGAAGGAAGCACACCTTCTCTTCTATCTGATGTCAGTATCGAAAACTCTGGAAAAGTTATATTAATATAATTAATATCCATCCATGTTTACTTAATTAGCCTCCATTTTGTAAACCATATGAATCAAATTCTCAGATCACTTCATCAGAGAAACAGGAAAGTTTTTAGAAGCTTGTAATATGTATTTTAATCAAGGATCAAACAACAATTGTAAAAGGTTTTATTCCATCTGTGTAAAATTAATGTAACTTCATTATTAAAAGTGAATGGTTTTTCACTGTTACAGTTGATGTGGAATGAATGAAAGGTTAACGCACCACCAGCATTAACCGCTCCCACCTATTTAAGGTTGCAGGAAAGGTAACGTAATGATAAACTATTTGTAGCACGGGGGATGGCATCTGTAGAAATTAGTTCCTTACTGCCATTACACCTCTCATAACTTCATGTACTTCCCACCGTTTCTACATTGTATCTCCTCTCCCATTTTTATCTACTTGGACATCGTGGTGGTTCTAAGAAGAAGGATCATACAGAGCACTCTTGAGAGCTCCCCTGAGCTGCTCCATGCTGTTGCTGCCTCAGCTTATGTCTGGGGAGCAGGCAGCCTGCAGGTCCTTGAACTCACACCAGCCGGTCCTGTGAGCACCTGCACTAGATGACCCCTTCCTTGACACCAGCAGTCTTGCTGAACCCCAGGGTCTACTTCACAGGCCCCCCTTCAGTGACACCCTCTGAGCTCGCCAGAATCCTGCTCGTCTTTGTTTGAATGGACCCCTCCACACTCAGCGTGAGGGACCCACAGCACTTCACCAAGGGTCAGGTCTGAAACCCAAGCACTAGAATTTTCTCTGCCTGGTTCTAGCCTTGACCTTCCTCAAGGGCCCTCAAGGCTTGCTGTGAATTCTCTGAGGACCTAGAATCATAAACTCACCTGCTGCAATTGTCCTTTGTTCTTCTATTAGCTAAAACTTTATAGGGGCTCATTTAAGCAAATATAAGCTTAACAAAGTCACAAAAAGAATAATCAAAAGGCATGATGGGAAAATTCTGAACCAAGATTTATAAAATCATACCCTGTATAATTCTTAGCACATGTGTCTTGTAAGGCTTAAAGGAACTGTTTTCTCATGGCTTTGGCATACTTTGAATGCAATATATAAAGATCTGAAGATATATACATAATGTAATTTACATAACACACATTGAATACAAGGTATAAATATCTGAAGGTATACATGTTTGCAGTGAGAAACTCAAGAAGGAATTTGTGAGTGTGTGTGTATGCTTCACATTTAACTTAGAGAATTTAGAGATGCTAGATCAAAACTGGTCATTTCAGAATTGCAGATGATTTACTAGAAACTGTAAAGCTTGTCAATTTGTCAATTAATCTGTTTTGTCTACTTTTCATGGAATTCATTTCCTTGAATGTCAGGAGGTTATGTTTTTTAAGGAACTTCCACAGGGTCCACCCACGTGACTGCACCAGCTTACATTTCCTCCAGCCATGTAGGAGGTTCCCTGATCTGCAAGCCCCTTCAGCGTTTATGATATTTTAGTGGGCTTTTTGCTCATTGTCATTCTGACTGGCATGCGGTGATATATCCCTGCAGCTTTGTTCTGCGTTTCTTATTGTTTAGTGATGGTCAGCATCTTTCTTTTGCCTCCTGCCCATAGAAAAGAGCAAGCTGCCCCGCCCAGCCTCAGCAGCTGTGGGGCACAGGCTTAGTCTCCCCACAGCATGTGGAGTATTCCTGGACCAGGGATGAAGCCCTTGTCCCCTGCAGTGTCAGATGGATTCTCCACCACCGGGTGCCCAGTCTGTTTAGCTTTTTTTCCTTTTGTAATTGCTTTACAATGTTGTGTTAGTTTGTGCTGTATGACATCATCAATCAGCCATAAGTATACATAAATCTTCTCCCCCTTGGCCCTCCCTCCTGTCATCTCCGTTTCGCCCCTCTGCTCAGCACAGAGCACCAAGCTGAGCTCCCTGTGGTAAACAGCAGCTTCCCAACAGCTACCTATTTTAACCATCAGTTCAGTTCATGTGCTCAGTCGTGTCTGACTCTTTGCGACCGCATGGAGTGCTGCTCACCAGGTCTCCCTGTCTGTCACCAATTCCTGGAGCTTGCTCAAACTCATGTCCATTGAGTCAGTGATGCCATCCAACCACCTCATCCTCTTTCATCCCCTTCTCCCCCTTTCAATATTTCCCAGCGTCAGGGTCTCTTCAATGGGTCAGTTCTTCACATCAGATGGCCAAAGTATTGAAGTTTCAGCTTCAACATCAGTCCTTCCAAAGAATATCAGGACTGATTTCTTTTGGGACGGACTGGTTGGATCTCTTTGCAGCCCAAGGGACTCTCAGGAGTCTTCTCCAACGTTTTACCCATGGTGGTGTATATATGTCAATGGTACCCTTTCACTTGGTCCCCCTCTTCTTCTCCTGCTGTGTCCATGTCTCATCTCTATATTTGTGCAAATATTGTGTTAACAGATATGTATGGAATTTAAGAAATATATTTATGAACTTATTTACTAAGCAGAAATATAGGCGCATAGGTAGTTCTTAAGCTTTTGCATGTTAAGCTTTCAAGGCATAAAATACATTGACAGTCATTCCATGCATTTTACGGTTGTCGCCATGTGTTCTGGGAAACAAACTGAGTCAGAAGGACAATGCAGATAGTGGAGTGCACTTTATTACATGGGCGGGGCCAAGGCAGAGTCTCGTCTTAGCCAAGGACCCCGAACAGTTTTTGTGAAAACTTTATATACCCTAAGTGTAGTTGCTCAAACCCACCTCCCCAAATTCCTTGAAACTAGTCAGGACAAGGTAAAAGAGAGGTATGATCGAAGTTAACCCATGATTCATGTGTCTCAGGACCAAATAAACAGTAAATATTTATCAACAGGCCTGTGGTCATATCCCAATAAACAGAATGGAATTTACCCCTTTGCTCTGTTACAGAGATAATTAACATATTCTTTTAGGTAACAGATTCCAAGTACAAGTCCTGAGGCTCTTTTATGGGCGGGGGGCGGGGTGGATCTGATTTCCCATTGGTATGCCACTTCTATAGACACCGGGGCGCAAAGCTCAGAGCCCACCGGGAGGGTGACAGTGCGTGTAGCCTAATGCTCGCAGCCTGGCCTAAGACGGAGTCCAGCTCTGTCTGTTTCCTCCTTCATTACTAAGTGAAAGAAGCCCATTTGAAAATGCTACAAAAATTAGGATTTTTACAATACGACTTTTTGATGTAGGTAAATGTTCATATGTGCTCAGTCGTGTCTGAATATTAGTGATTCCAGGGGCTGTAGCCTGCCAGGCTCACCTCTGTCCATAGATTTCCCAGGAAAGGATACTGGAATGGGTTGCCATCTCTTCCTCCAGGGGATCTTTTGACCCAAGGATCGGAGCCGCATCACCTGGATGTCCTGCATTGGCAGGCAGATTCCTTACCACTCAGTCACCTGGGAATCTACTAAGAAATACAGAAGAGGTTAAAAAGGTCCATGATTACCATGGGTTTCAAAGGAGGGACTATGAATAACCTAAGTCTAGAGAACTATCAGGACCATGAAATAATTTGTGTTAAACTGTCATGATGGACACATGTTATTAAATATTTATCTAGAGGTATGGAGTTCACATTCCTAAAAGAGGAACACAGGGGTAAACTAGAGAGTTTATCTATTTACTGCCGGTGTAGATTCATCAGTGGTAACAAATGCTCACTCTGGTGGGGAAAGCTAAGTAGGAAGACTGTCCACATGTAGGAACAAGAGGTATGTGGGAAATGTCTATACTTTATTCTCAATTGTGCTGTGACATATATCT